TCCTCCCAGCTTGGTGTCATCAGCAAATCTGAGTATTTATCATGAACCTGAACACACGTTTCCCCTTCAGGTCGGGGATGTCACGAACAAGAAGCCCCAGCGCCTGGTGACTCAGTTCCACTTCACCAGCTGGCCTGATTTCGGGGTCCCCTTCACCCCCATCGGGATGCTGAAGTTCCTGAAGAAGGTGAAGACGTGTAACCCCCAGTACGCAGGAGCAATAGTTGTGCACTGCAGGTACGTCCTGGTCACGGCCGACCTCTGCCTCTCCTGGGTGGCTTGAAAAGCATCACCTATTTAATATTAAAAGGATTTTTGTTTCTGTTAGGACTTTTTTAACCATTTTCATTTAACTTTCCCATGTTAATGGGGATGTTCCACATGGGAACATGTCAAAAAATGCATCTGAATTGAAGGTACTCATGGGAATGGGGTTACCACTTGTGTTGAGTGGGCTTTGGATGCCAGGTGAGCCGAGCTTAACACCACTACTGGGCTACAGTGGCATCTCCTTTGAGTCTTTGCTGCCCTGGGCACAAAAGGACAACATCCCTTGTTGTGAGAAGGCAATGCTCAGCTGAGCCTGCCTGAGAGCAGGAACCATGGTGTTTGACCTCACGTGGAGTCATTTCAGGCACAGCAACAAGTTTTGGGGAGCCACAGAGACTTTCCATGGGAAAACCTCATGATTAAAGGCAGAGATGATCACATTTGCAACCTCCCAGGTCCATCCTTCCTTCTCCTTCTCAGGAGACAGGTGACAAAAGAGATTGGTCTTTCCATAGCATCTGCTGACCTCCTCTTTCATCTTCTCCTTAACGGTTGAGTTACCAGCACCAAGACAAGACTTCCCCATGAGCAAACTTTCACAGCCCATAAGGACTCTGGAAGCCATGGTTGGCTTAGGCTTTGCTTTGGCTCACCCCGCTCCGGTTGTGACGCTTGCTGCAGATGCATCTCATCTCCAAAACCAGATTTTGCTATTTACTCGGTGCTAGGAAGCATCTGGCTCGCTCCTGGCCACTCTACAAGGGATCCTAACACCATGACTACTGCACTGACCGCTTGTCCCCTCTGCTCTTTCAGCGCCGGGGTGGGACGCACGGGCACTTTCATCGTCATCGATGCCATGCTGGACATGATGCACGCCGAGAGGAAGGTGGACGTTTACGGCTTCGTGAGCCGCATCCGGGCTCAGCGCTGCCAGATGGTACAGACAGATGTGAGTGTGCTGCTGCTGCTGCCCTTTCTTTTTGGGCTTTGCTCGCTGGAGTTAGATTTCAGTATCCAGCCTGCAGCAAAGCCTACGTGAGGGTTGAGCATCATCCCTCGTTTTGGAAGGATGCTGCTTCAGATGAGCATTTCACTGAGTCCTGCTCTTTTTAATCCCCTTTATAGAATTAGAGAATGATTTAGGTGGGAAAAGAGCTTTAAGATCATTGAGTCTAATCATTAACCTCACACTGCCAAGTCCACCACTAAACCATGTCCCTAAGCACCACATCTCCCCATCTTTTAAATCCCTCCAGGGATGGGGACTCCACCACTGCCCTGGGCAGCCCCTTCCAGTCCTTGACAACCCTTTCAGTCAAAAATGTTTCCTAATATCCAGTATAAACCTTTCCTGGCACCACTTGAGGCCTTTTCCTCATGTCCTATCACTTGTTACTTGGGAGAAGAGCCCAGTCATCCCCTCGCTATCCCCTCCTTTCAGGAGCTGTAGAGGGTGATGAGGTCTCCCCTCAGCCTCCTTTTCTCCAGTCTTGGAGGAAGTTTTGTGTCACGTAGCAAATAAGTTCCCCACCCCGATACAGCGGCAGAAAGGTTGTTACCCACTTTTCTGGGGTCTTGGAGGGGTGCCACATGCCCAGTGAACACAAGTGGGCAGTGGGGTGGTGGGTTCACTGCCAGCTTGTGCATGGAGTGGAGGCTGATGGCTTCTCCCTGCAACCCTTGCAGATGCAGTATGTGTTCATATACCAAGCACTTCTGGAGCACTATCTCTACGGTGACACAGAGCTGGAGGTGACCTCCTTAGAGATCCACCTCCAGAAGATCTACAACAAAGTGCCAGGGACCAGCAGCAACGGTCTGGAAGAGGAGTTCAAGGTGAGCGTGGTTCTTCACCTGGTGGATCTGCTCGGATGGTGCTGGGCTGCGGGGACCACCGTGCGCTTTCCTGGCGTGGGATGGCTCTGAAAGCTGCCTCTGCTTTCGTTCCTTCCTCTGCAGAAGCTCACTTCAATCAAAATTCAGAATGACAAGATGAGAACGGGCAACTTGCCGGCAAACATGAAGAAGAACAGAGTGCTTCAGATAATTCCATGTAAGACTTGCTTGTCTGCCTAAAAGTACACCCGGTGGGTGAGGGGGCTGTTTGGTTGTGGGGACAGGAGTTAAGCTGGAGAGATGGGCCAACGGAGACCTCCTGATGTTCAACAAGGAGAATTGCAAAGTCCTGCCCCTGGAGAGGAACAACCCCAAGCGCCAGTATGTGCTGGGAGCACTTTTTGGCTGTGAGGGTGACCGAGCACTGGCACAGGTTGTTCATGGAGGTTGTGGAATCTCCATCCTTGGAGATACTAAAGCTCCACCTGGACAACCTGGGCAACCATTTCTGGGTGGCCCTGCTTGAGCAGAGGGGTTGGATGAGGTGTCATCCAGAGGTCCCTTCCGACCTCAACCCCTGTATGATTGTGATGGCCACCCATGGTTATCAAGGAGTGATGCTTTGAACGTGTCCCCCAAAACTCAGATCATTTCACTTCTGTTTCAGATGAGTTCAACCGAGTAATCATTCCAGTGAAGAGAGGTGAAGAGAACACGGACTACGTCAACGCTTCCTTCATTGACGTGAGTCTCCTTTCAGCTCCTTTCCACCTTCTGCATATGGAAACTCTTTACCTCACGCTGCTTCCTATGGAAAGGCTTTGTCCCAAAATATTCCTTCTCTGGGTTTTGTAAGGCTCTTTTCACTTTGTCACTGGATGGTGCTGGTTTCTTTCTCCAAGAAACCCCTCTGTGTACACAGTTTCCTTGTGTCCCACGGATGGTGGGAAGGAGCTGGAGTCAGAGCAGAGCCTCCAAATCCTGGCCTCCCTTCTGCAACTCTGGGCCCTGATGATGGCTTTGGAGGAGCGGATGCACGTAGCTGTGGAAATGATTGCTATACAGCACTGTTCATTTGGTCAGAAAACATCCCCTAGATTGGGTAATGGTGCAATACACGGATCCCAAAACCCCTGAGAAAAACCAGGTCAATCCCATTACACCTGGCTGGGTGGCAGAAGGAGGCGAGGCAGAGAGGTTAAGTGCTTTCCTCCCTCCGAGGAGGAGGTAAGTGATTGCACATCCTTTTCTCCCAAGTAATCCTGTTGACTCCAGGGGGACATCTCCGATGAGTATTGATCTCCCTGCCCTGCTCTTTTCTACCCCAATTTCTATTTTCATCTCCTAAAGACAGTGTTGGGTGGGTTGTTTTTTTTTCCCCAAAGGGCTATTACTGCCATGGGTTGACCCAGTAAAACCCAGCATCTTCCCAGTTCTAACATCCCAAATTAATTGCTCCCTGAATTCTCCTTTGCTGGGTTCCCATGGGGTTGCTCTGGCTGCGTGAGCATCCGACTCAACGCGGCCAGGAGCAGCCGCCTTGTTCTGCGCCGAGATCAGAAAGCTTAAATGTCACGGAAGCAATTTTGGCCGAGGATTTAATTTCCTGCCTCTGCTGAACTTTGCTCAAATGACGAGCTCCAAATGACGAAGCGTCTTTGGTCACAGCCTGCAGCGAGGGCGCAGGGGAACGTCGGAGCCGTTTCGGAAACAGAAGCACTTTGTGGTTGTGGAAGAGCCAGAGTCAACCAGACTTACCTTACACAATGGTTTGGGTTGGAAGGGGCCTTAAAGATCATCTGGTTACATCTAGTTTTGCTTACTGCTTCCAAAAATCCTCAGTAAAATTCATAGCTAAAGTACTCAGAGCTTAGGCAAGGCTCTGCTGCAGCGCTTGGACTTTGCAACGTCGCTTAGAAGTGCTGGAAACCCAAATCTTTCTGCCCCAAATGGATGAGGCCGTGCAGGCACAGGGGATATGATTCACATGGACAGTCATGATGCTCCCAAAAATTCCCCAGACTTGGTAACCCACCCGTGCCGACTCCTGGCATCCGGGCGCTGCCGATTCAGCACTGAGCCTGTTCTCGCGTTGCAGGGTTATCGCCAGAAGGACTCCTACATCGCCAGCCAAGGACCACTGCAGCACACGATAGAGGACTTCTGGAGGATGATCTGGGAGTGGAAGTCCTGCTCCATAGTGATGCTGACCGAGCTGGAGGAGAGAGGCCAGGTGAGTACCAGCAAAATAAATCAGTGCGACCCCTTAAAATCTCCCAATGGCCCCGACGCTGCCAGTGCTGTACGCATTGGGTGCTCTGTCACCCTTTCTGTAGCAAAGCCACACAGGAGACATATTTCACCCTCTGCTTCTGATGCGGAGAATCCAAATGTTGGTAGACCCAGAGTGGGAAGATGTTCAATAAACCAAGCTCTGGAACTCTGGTTCTCAAAACACCTCTGGGTGCAGTGGGTGTCTTGTCTCTGAAGCAAGCCCATGAAATGGTGACAGGAGGGGTAACAGGTTTAAACTGGAAGAGGGGAGATTCAGACTGGATATTAGGAGGAAATTCCTCCCTGTGAGGTGGTGAGGCCCTGGCCCAGGTTGCCCAGAGAAGCTGTGGGTGCCCCCTCCCTGGCAGTGCCCAAGGCCAGGTTGGCCGGGGCTTGGAGCAGCCTGGGCTGGTGGAGGTGTCCCTGCCCATGGGGGTTGGACTGGGGGGGCTGTGAGGTCCCTCCCAACCCAAACCATGCTGTGAGAATGGAGAAGACACAGCCTATTCAAGCCCATAGGAAGAGTATGAGGTCCTCACCCTGTGTCCTCCTGTGATGCTTTCTCAGGAGAAGTGTGCCCAGTACTGGCCATCTGACGGCTCCGTGTCCTATGGAGACATCACTGTGGAGCTGAAAAAGGAGGAGGAGTGCGAGAGCTATACGGTGCGGGACCTGCTGGTGACGAACACCAGGGTAAGACTCTGACCTTCTCCCCATGAGGAGCTCTTGGTGCTGCTGACTTTGACTTCCACCAACCCTTCCTGATGTTTATGGTGTGTGGTTCCTCTTGCAAGTGCTGGATCTTCCCTGTGGCATCTTCAGCTCCATCATCTCCCCGCCATCCCAAAGTAGTGTCCATTCCCTGCAATCCCACCTTCTTCCCTACATTCTCCGACCACCCTGAGGGTTCCTGTCCTGATGATGGCTCTGTTCTGCTGCCACCCTCACCCCACCCCTGCCTTGTCCCTGTGCCCACACCCAAACTCCCTCCTGCTCCCCGTTCCCCACATCCTGCCCTGCTCCATGCCACGGGAGTGGCTTCCCTCCACAAGCAAGGGGGTGTTTTTCCCAAATCCCAAAGCTGGTGAGTTTCTCGGTACAGTTCTCCCACCAACTTACTGACCTCGAGCTGTGCTCTCCCACCAGGAAAACAAGAGCCGACAGATCCGGCAGTTCCATTTCCACGGCTGGCCAGAAGTTGGGATCCCCGGGGACGGGAAGGGAATGATCAACATCATCGCGGCCGTGCAGAAGCAGCAGCAGCAGTCTGGCAACCACCCCATCACTGTGCACTGCAGGTAAAGCCCGGCTGGAGCAGGGCTCGGCCACCCCTCCAAGGGGTCCTGCTCTACAAGAAGCTTTGGAGATGGTTAAAGATCCCTCAGAAGATTTGGGCTGAGCAGCAGCAGCCCGGGCAGTTGTGGTCTGGGGTTTTCCTGAAGCAAAGAGGCCTCAGTCCTGTAGAGCATGTCCTGGCTAACCTGGGAGATGGTGGGGCAGGACGTTGAGCAAAGCCAATGGTGGTATCCTTGACCTTCTGGTTTCTCTTTGGCAGCGCCGGAGCAGGAAGAACAGGCACCTTCTGTGCACTGAGCACTGTCCTGGAAAGGGTGAAGGCAGAAGGGATTCTCGACGTCTTTCAGACGGTGAAGAGTTTAAGACTACAGAGGCCGCATATGGTGCAGACACTGGTAAGTGAGGGCACCCCACGCTCCTTCTGCCACCCCAAACCTCAGCAGGTAGGGGCTGGGGGCTCAATGCTGAGCCAAAACATCCTCAGTTGAAGGTTTTCTCTGTCCATGAAAGAGCAAGGGATGGAGGTGGATCAGGAGGTGTCTCCCTTTCCTTCTGTTAGGACATCTGGAAGATGCTGAAGGCATCAAGCCCCTTTGAGCACCGACACAAGCTGCAGGAGCCTCCTTGGAGGCATCCTCAGCCATGTATTTATGGGCTCCAGGAGCCTGGAAACCCGTCCTGGAGCAGCTTGGGCAGGACTAGATGAGGTCTTGCGAGAGGGGTTTACAAGGATGCTCGGGGCTTTAGAAAAAAGCCTTTTGGGGGTCAAAGTAAGAGCTTAGAGAGGGGAAAGCAGAGTTTCTTTTGCTGATAAACCCCGGTATTTGGGGTCACAAAGGAGGTGGGACCTTCTCATGGATGAGAATCCAGTTCCTGCCCTCGATGGGGGCTGAGGGCACCTGCCCACGCTTGGTCCCAGGTAACCACAGACCGCAAAGCATCAAACTGGGGGAGTTTTCTTGGTCTTAACGCTGTCCTGTCCCCAAACCCCGCAGGAACAGTACGAATTCTGCTACAAGGTGGTGCAGGAATACATCGACGCCTTCTCAGACTACGCCAACTTCAAGTGAAGCCGCAAATAAACCACAGCAAAAAAAACAACAACCCAACAGCAACAACAACAACAAAACTCCACGCCCCGAAACAAAATGACAGAAGAGTTGCCTTCTTTAATATTTTGTAATATTCTGTTTGTTAATATACCCCATCCACCCCCCTCCCCCCCAAAAAAAAACAACTATGTGTATATATCTTAACTGTTTTAGAGGTTGGTACCATAAGCTTCATATTAGCTGGAGATTTTATATGTAGCAAAGTGTTAGTGCAGATACTGTTGGCTCCTTTTTTTCCAATGTTTTATTGGGGAATTAAATAGCGTGATGTTTGGATTAATATTGTCACACCATCTCTCTCTGCTGGAGAGTTGCTGCAGGTTGGTATTTTGTTTGTAAATCTCTTTTTTTTTTTCTTGAGGGAGTAAAGCCTTTTTACAAAAAAAAAACCAGAAAAAAGCTATGCTGGATCTCATCTGCAAACAACAAAAATACCCCAAAACGCAACCCCAGAAGCTTTTCCGACCCTGCAGGGAAATGGTTTCACATTTTACTGTGGGTCGGCTCTTTTTTTTTTTTAAAAAAAAAGGAGAAAAAGAAACAAAAAAGCTCATTCTGTGTGTGTGTATGTCTACAAATATCCTCATTTTGGTATGGAAAGCTAAATGTTTCCTCCTCAGGGGCAGGTCGCCGCGTGCTTTGGAAACTGCAGTGACCGTAGCAGCGACCGCTGGGATTTCAACCCAAAAAAAAAACCCCAAAACCCAGAAAACCACAAGGGGTTTTGCTCCCTGAAGGAAACGTCCATGTGTTTGACACCGGATTTTGGACCCGACGCAGGGGTCATCGCGGTGGGTGGTCATGGTGGCCCTGCCACCCCCAAAGGTCCCTTCCAGGAGGGAGCCGTAGCCATGGGATCAGTTTGGCTGGAGGAGAAGCAGCTCCGTGTGGTCCAAGCTCTGTGTTCGCAGTCCTGTGTCTGTTCCCTAATGCCACCCAGACCCGTCCCTCCTCTTGCTCTGTAACAGCACTGAAGGAGGAATTTGGAGCCATCTCACATTGGTGATGTGCTATAGGTTTTTGCCTCCATCCTTAGACCAGGGGACCTCCATCCCTTGATTTCCTTCCAGCGTCTTAAGAGATCACAGCATCACAGCAAGGTTTGGGTTGGAAGGGACCTCAAAGCCGCCCCATGGACAGGGACACCTCCAACCCCCATGGGCAGGGACACCTCCACCAGCCCAGGCTGCTCCAAGCCCCGGCCAACCTGGCCTTGGGCACTGCCAGGGAGGGGGCACCCACAGCTTCTCTGGGCAACCTGCGCCAGGGCCTCACCACCTCACAGGGAGGAATTTCTGCCCAATATCCAGTCTAAATCTCCCCTCTGCCAGCTTAAAGCCATGAGAAGGGGGTCACTGCTAAAGCAGTCCCATGTATTTAAAGCTGAGGGAGATCCTTCTCCAGCCTGGGGGTGCTTTTGTCACCTTCCTGACAAATTTGGGGGATTTCCTGCTTTGTTTTTTCAATGGAGGCTCCATCATGGAGATGAATTTGCCTTACCAGAGCAGGAGGCAAAAAATGGCTAATTTGTATTGTTCCCCTCCCAGAAGAAGGAAAATATAAAGAAAGCCTAATGCTGGTGATGGGCCAGGGCACAAGGAGAGTCCCAAGGGCCACAAAAAGTCCTAAAGAAATGTCCTGAGGACCCAGGGGTGCAACGCTTCCCTGTTATAAAGATATGGTTGGTGTGGTTTATTTTAGTAGGGTTTTATTGTTATAAAGAAGTGTGAGGTGCAACACCCACCCTGTTCCTCCTGCAGTCGAGGAGGCCGTGCCCTGGGTCACAAGGCAGGGAAAATCAGGTTGAAATTTGGGAGATCACAGGAGAAGACACCCCATGAGTGGGGGTATCTGCGTTTTCCAGCCAGGAGAACTTTCAAGGGGGATGGGGGGGCTCAGTGGGCCACACAGGCAAGGGGACCCCCCCCAGCACCCCAAAACACCCCCTCAGAAATGACCTCTCTGCTGCCATCATCCCCACCTCACCACCTGCCCCCCCTCCCCAAAACCCCAACACCATAACTCCATTAATAAACTGATTTGGGGGGGCTTTTGGCCAAAGCTCTCATGCTCTGAAGTGTCCTGACCCCCCCAAAAATGGGGATGCTGCTGGGATGGGGGGACACAGACCCCCGTGAGCGCCGCTGTCCCTCCACCCGCC